TGTGGTCAGACAAAACAGACATAACTATTTTCATTCAGAGGATGCAATTCCATCTAAATTGAAATGTGTTGCAAAATCACATTGATTTTGCCAAAAATTTGTTTAGGAGGGAATCAAAATCAAAACAAAAAAGTCTGGCAATGTCGAAGCAGTTCATTTTAACATTTGGGGGACAAAATTTTTTTTTTTTTTGCTTTGGAATAACTTTCAGTTTTGAATTTTTTATGCTAAGTGTATGTTCCAATTTAATTGAAAAAATACCTAAATGGGATGATTTTATACATAAAAAAGTAATTTTATTAAAAAAGATTTCCCCCCCAGAACTTCCTTTGGCAGAGAGTGAAGGGGAGGAGGAGGGCAGTTGTTCTAATTCAGAATAAAGCTGCAGTTCAAAATCTCTTATGAAACTGAAAATATTCATCCTCCACAAAGCTCTACTGATATCTCACTGAAGTATGCCCTTGTGTATAGCATATCTGCAGTAGTTTTGCTGTATGCATGCTGTTCAAACCCAAAGAATGTGTTAGAATTTAGTTCTTACTGTAAAATTCTGACTATCTGTATACAAAGCCCCAAATAAAAGTATTCATAAGGGTAATCTGCAAATGGTTGCAGGGTGGAGTCCTCATACTCAGCCTGAAGCCTAATTTATGAATGACAATAGAGTCATGCTTTATTGTTTCACTCAATGTGGGTCTTTTAACCAGTGGATCTGAATGCACATAAATCCTCTGGCCAAACCCTGGAAACTTCTTTATCCCTTCCTTCCCCTACTCTTCACAGTCACTCTTCTTTTCTCTTTTTTATGCTCTGATAGAGATTGCCACTGTATATGAAGCAGGTTGTAGACCCTCCTATGAATAGAATTTCCCATCCATTTGTTAACCGACCCATTGCAAACTTGTCTTTTTTCATTAGTTGGGTGTTGTGTGCTCTTGAAGCACAGCCTACTTATGATCCATACTCACTGGAGCATGTTTTTTTTTTAAATACAGTTCTTGGTGCATATTCAGACCTGAGATGCAGTGTTGTTTTTGAAACTGAACAGTTGGAAAACACAACAGTATACAGCATACACACACGTGTAATTAGAACTCCACAAAATGAGCAAAGAAACACTGATGGATCGACCTATAGAAAGTTATGTTGATGTGGAATACAAAAGTCAATGGCTTCTTCCTTTAGCAGCAAAAAATATTCTTACATTTTCTGTTCTCTGTTATAATTCATAGTTTTATGGATGTTGCTAAGAACTTATCACTGGTGACTAAAATACAAGAAGATGTCAGTTTCAACTTTACAGGTTTTTGTCATAGATCAATATTAAACAGACTATTGAAGCGTAACTCTTCATTGTACAAGAATGTAGGCATTAGACCTCCCCCTGTGAAGGGCAGATATCATTCAGGACACATACATACACACACAGGCACACACATCTAAGATTTGGCCAAACAGAACAACTTAATTTGTTCTTAGTTTACAATGCCAGGGCTAAGAAGGAAGAGACCTGCATCTTTCTAGTGCTATAATTCTATGGGTGGTGCTCCCTAACTTGCTGACCAACCCTATTATTTCATGGAGGAACTGGGGCTGCCCAGTAGCAGCCCTCTTCAAGGAAGACTGGTATAAAAGCTGTGCCTTTTTTAAGGGTCTGGATTGGTCTTTCTTTTTAGCTCTCCTACAAACTGATGTCAGCTTTGAAAACAGATGCTTGTAGCTGCTGAACATTTCCATGAAGACTGGGTTCAGTGGAAAACTTGGTTTTCAACTAAATGGAGATTTCCAGCTGTCAGCTTTCCATACACCACTGGCTGAACCCCCCCCCCCGCACCCAGTTCATCTCACAAATCTTACTTTCTATAGAAAAATTACACTTTTCATGGTACATCCCCAAACCCATAAATTAAAAGTTTTCATTTTGTGCCCCAAATTTTCTGACGAAAAGTCAAATTTTCCACATGAAAAACGGACATGTCTAGACAAGTGGGCACATGCAGTTTGTAGCACTGCAGACCTGTCTGCAGCACCACAAACTGCACATGCCACATGCGTAGGCATTCACCATGCTACTAATTTGCAGCACAGCAACTTTTTTGACACTGAGAGACCCCAGGGTAAAAAAAAACTGTGGCAGAAAAAAGCAGGGTGGTGTACATAGTGGCACCGTGGGCCACCTGAAACCGGAGCTTGGCTGGCTTGAGCCATGCTTCATCTGCCAGCCAGGCTCTGCATGCCCCATTGCCTCTGCTGGAGCCCTGTGAGGCCCTCAGGACCCCAGGTAAGGCTGCTGGGGCCAGTCCAGGTACTGGCCCCAGCCTCCCCTACCCAACCAGGGGCAACTTGCCATGTGCCAAAGTTGTCCGCCGCATGGACAACTACGTGCTGCTATTTTCCCCAGGGAAATGCACATGCACATGCACACTTGTCTGGATGTGCTGTATGTTCTTATCGGCTCTGATACCCATTGCTCCCAATGCATGCTGAACTACTATATTTTCCTATTATCGGTTTGCTTGTGCTGAACAATGAGTTTGACAGTCAGCCAAAAACTGCTGCATTTCTCATAACAAAAGAGCTGCACTTAGTTCAACAAAACATAAATATCTATTGCTTTCCCCAAAGCTTAGTCTTCAACTCAAAATATTGCTTTAAAATTAATTTTTTAAACAAGGGTTTTAGCCTCCATTGGTGACAGTCACTCAGATAGGAAGAAAGGGCAACCTCTAGTAATATATGTTGCTTAAGTTTGTCTTGCATAATGTAAGGGTGAAGTTACATGTTACATTTAGACCATACTGTGGATATTTAAAATGCAAGTGTCTTCATGTTAAAGCTCATTGGGTTGTGCTAAGTCCCTTGGAGCACTTTAAAGTTATGCTACTTCAGACAAGGTTTACTCTGGGATGTGCTCCCTAGGTTGTATTAGGGTAACTTCAGTCTGCTCTACGGAGATAAAACAAGCAATTTGCTGTCCTCATGCATCCCAGGATGCATCACTCCTTCCTTCCAGGACAGAGATAGTTCCCAGGTCCTGGATCCTAGTCACGCCCCTGCTTGCCAACCCTCTAGCAGCAAGTGAGAACTGTGCAGGCAAAATGCGATATTAATCCTTAATGTGTGACTACTCACAGCATGTTCTAACTTTAATACTGCTTAACATTCAACAGATTTAGTTTGTAATCTGAGTGTAATGTGTCACCCTAAATAACACTTTAAAATAGTGATATATTTTATATCCTTCTCTAAGTATTATAAGTTTAAAACTCCTATAAGAGAGGTTTTACTAATTATAAACTTTGTTTTTATTACAAATAATAAAATACCTGGTATATATATTTAAAATTAATTATAGGTAAAACAAGAAATATTTCTTTGATCAAGCAACTAGGCATTTTGGCTGTAAATAGATATTGCATTTGACATGGGCTTGATTGCCCTGGATTTTGACGCAGATTAAAACAGGAGCAGCACAGTCATATAGGGTACTGTTCTATGTTCAGCTTAACACTTACCGGATGCATCTGCATGTACATTTACAGTGCAATAACTTATTGCGCAGTAAGTGCTTGTTAGACCGTCATCTACACATGTAAACATTACAGTGCAGTTACACTGTGTGTGTTCCAACTTGGGAGCAAAGTTACTCCCATGTAAGAGAGTAAAATTACTCCCAAGTTAGAGCATACATACAGTGCTACTGCGCAGTAAAGTGTCTACATGCACCTTACTGTGCAGCATGTGTAGACATGCATCTATACTGCGCAGTAACTTTCGGGTACTGTGAAGTAACCCAAGTTACCATGCAGTAACGATGCACATGTAGGTGCAGACCACTAAGTATAGTTAAAATACAAGCGCACACACATTCAAGCAGTTTAGCAAGTGTTAAAGGCCCTTGTGGCATTGCAAAGTTGTTCCCCTTCAGGTGAAGATTATCTCTTAACACATACTAAATTTAGTAGGTCACTACATTGTAATGATTTGCAATTGTTGCAAGTGAACATATGGCACCACCCTAACATGTACTAATGTTAATATATCTCAATATTCCAATGATTTGCTACTGTGACAAGGTCCTTACACACATAGCCCTTCCAAGTTGCATTGCTGCTCCTCTGCTAGTAGATGGCTGGAAAGAGTACACAGCCTGGCCAGCTTGTTAGGGAATAACCTTCTATAATTTTACAGATGCACACCATGATTCCCCAGGAAAAAGCAGTAGTACAGTTTATTCTGTATACTTTGGTGGGACTTGAAGTGAGACAGTGGTCTTGTAACTGTAGGGTTGAGGGACAAAAGGCTTTCTCCTGGGACAAATGTAAGGTCTATTTACAGCCTTAGTAATAATCGTGCACAGTAGTGACAATATATCAGTTTGTGCCATTTAAAATGTTGACTCTTTTGTATTTCAGTCACCATAGTCTAATCTCTTAAATGACTGTATACAAATTTGAGTATCTTTATATACTGGCTCAACTAAATAATTACCACAGGTTCATGTTATTTATATTCTGCATTTGATATATTTATTACATTTGGTTGTACATAGTTCTGCTTGAATGGCAGGGGGTGGGATTTATCCTTTGTTAAACTTTGTGTAACTCAATCCAACGAGTCAGATGGTGGCACAAAACAATTTATTTCACAGGGTACTCGAAGTCCTGGAAGTGACTTAAAGAACTGTGCAATGGAATTGTATTTCCCAATTCCATTTTTCTTGTGCCAAGATGCTTGTTACCATTTTTGCAGCAGAGTTGGAGCATTGTTGTAGTCATGAAGGTCCAGGAAATGTACAAAAGGCAAGGGTTTTTTGGTGATATCTTTTATTGGATCAACTGTATAGTTGGAAGAGATGCTGCATAAGCTTTTGGGCACAAAGTACCCTTCTTCAAGTCTAGGGCCAATAAAACATATCACAGAAAAACTCTTGTCTCTGTTACCATTCTTGATGGGGCTACCCTATTGCATTGCTTTTCATGTAAAAGCAAGATTTCATTTTAATTATCTTTAGCATTGGGTGCCTCTGGGCTTGAATCTATATCACTGAAAGCATCTTTATTAGTGAAAGTTGAGTTCAGAGTTAGACTGTGACGAGGATTCACGGGTGCAAGTTCATTTAATATAATATTGTCATTTTTTACAAGAGTTGTTTTGTCCATGTGTTCCTTACTGTACTTTGCAACAACAGCATCAAGGAAGTCTAATTTTGGTGGCAAAGTACCACTTTCAAATAAGTACTTTGCTAGGTATGAGACAGCAATGTTAGTAAGGAAAGAAGTAAGCATGGCGAGTGTTTTAAATGGGAATCGCTGGACATAGATACCACTTTCATCGATATAACAACCAGGATAGATGATCAAGGGCTGAAGGTAAAGGTAGGGTTCTCCTCCTGTTATTCTGAGAAAGAGGCCAAACAAATATCCTGTAATCGCCCCATAAGTGTTGGTTCCTTTAATAAATAAGACACATAACAGTTGGGGGAAGATGATGATGTAAACGAGATCAGAACTGAGGTACCAGAGTCCATATACTGACTTAGCTAGCAGCGCCATTGCTGTTGCTGATGCTCCAAACACAAAAACAGTGATTCGCATCACCCATACTATTTCCTTGTCTGAAGCCTACAAAACAAACAAGCAACAAAAATACCCGTAGAGAGTTAGTTTGCATGTAGCAATTTATGTATGGATTTCTTAAGATTATATTTTATTAAAGACCCTAAAATATCCAAGAACCCTTTTTACATGATCTATACGTCAGATAAAAATGTGCAAGATGAAAAATATATAGCAGGTAAAAAAAAAAAGCTCCCAAAAATAAAGTCAAGTTCTTATCCCAAAATTCTTGCCCCTCCAGGAAAACATAGTTTAATGCAGTGTCCAACAAAACAAATAGTGTGATAGAACTATTTTTTAAAAATAAACTGAACAGGCTATATGCACACATTACTTATATAGCTATATAAACAACACAAAGCTAGTGTGTTTGGGCTATTAGTATCTCTAAACATGTGGCAGATCCATCATAAGAAAGTTCCTTTTGTAGTGTAACATGTTGACAGTTGTATGTAGCATTACAAGAGCCTCTTGGACCCTCAGCATCCTCTTGGACCCGGACAGCCCACGGGCCCACTCCCCCTCCCCCTCCCCCTCCCCTAGAAAGCCCTCAAGGAGCAGAACATCTTATTTAGTTAAGACTTTTAAAGAACTTGTGGTGACTGTAATAGCCTGGAGCTCTTCATATATATTGTAACGTTAGGAAAACTAGTAAATACAATTTCACTATATGCTTTCTTCTCTTATACTATTAATCACAGTAACAGATATTTCTGGGCTTTTTTATTTAGTTTATAGAATATGCTGTGATAAGAGAAGTGCTGTATTTTACCCAACTAGAAACAGTAACAAAGAAGAGACTTCTAAAGACACAAATGGCAATCTAACCATCTTTTAACCATCACTTGTCTTTAAAAAATGAACAAATGAAAATATAATCTCACGTTTTGACGAAACGAAAGTTGATAAATGTTCCGAGCAAACATAGAACTTGCTGATAAGATTGAAGAATCAGCTGATGACATCACAGCAGCAGATACTGCACCAAGACCAAAGAAGGAAATATAGACAGGACAAAGATACTGAAGCACAATTGGTAAAATCATATCTGCTTCTTGTCTTCTCCAGGGTTCTATAGCACCATACTCAGTCTGGTTCCAATCTGCAATATAAGTACAGATATAATTGATTACATGATTAATGCATGATCTGGTCTGTGTTGTCATGTTCCTTCATCCCTGCTGATCCCATGTAAACCTCAACAATTTGAATTCCAGCAAACATAAACCGGCTATTCTGATTTGCAGGAGACTTGTCTCTCTGAGATTAGACTGCAGTTTCAGCCTTATCATTTCAGCCTGAATACTTCAGGTGTGCCTGCTAAATGTCCTCATTTTACAATGAAACTAATGTGTTGAGTCGCTGCTTTTCCTAATAATTTCTACATCTTAGCCCTTCCTTTTTTTGTCAACATTGTTCAGCAGCATCTCCCTGACTTCCTGATCACCTTATGTCCTCCATCTGATTCTCTGAAATCAATTGCCCTAATCAACTAAAAGGACCAGTACTTCCCCAATCCATAACAGTTTGCTTGTTCCCAGATGCTCCCTTTCATTATTAGTGACACAGGAAAGACTCTTGGCAAGGTAGATGAATATTCTGAATCACTCAGTCTCCTGTGAAATGCCAAGGACCGTTGTGGGCAGCTGTTGATCTCACAGGACCCAAAAACTAAAGAAACCCTGTCTTTCTCTAGCTACTGTGCTGGATATCTTGACATAGATCAGATCTCAGACTTACACAAAGAACAGAGCAGGAACAGGGGCAACCACCTTTCCTGCTGCTTTGGGGCATAGAAAGAAGGGTGAGATTGGAAAGCCATTTCCCTCATTTCCTTCTGGCCACAGGAGCTAAATGGGGTATGGACCTGTGTCAGGAGAAGATTGAGTTTGGTGGACTAGTGAGGGAAGATGGAAGCTTAATGTCCCCAGGCAGAATTTCAAATTCATTTGCACACCCTGATTAAACCTAAAACAATCCTTTTGCCCCCCAAAATGTGTTTGTGAGTCTGTAATGTGTTCATCATGCATTTAGTTGATAGAGGTCAAGTTTGAAAGATGAACTCAGGGTGATATTAACTGTAAATAAGTGGTACCACTAATGACCATGCAGACTGCTTATTTACCTCAAAAAAGTTGGAACTGGATAGTCTTTGGGCCAGAAGTTTCTGGAGTCAGGTCTCATGATTGAACATGTACCCAATGCTGACAATTCAGCATCATACTGACAAGGTACAAGGCTAAGAAGATATGCAGCAGTACTAGAGATTTCATTTATTTGCTGACACTTTGTATCAAGGCTCATTCTGACCACTTTCACTAGGAAGTTAAACCTCTCATGGCATTTTTTCAAAACAGATGAAAACAAATTTTCTTTTGAGCATCCTCAATAAACAGGTCCAGGGCACAGATTTTATAAGGTATTTATCGTAAGTTTAATTATCTTTCTGAATTAGAGCCTGAAGCTGTAAGTTCTTGTTAAATGCAGAATAGCTTCCACGTTTACCTACATAATCAGTGATTATTAATCACTGCACAACTACCTAGGGGACTCAGGGTAATGCCCATCTTTTTGATATATCTGTACAATGCCTAAAACTGATTAGTAGGTCTCCTTGGACAGTGGCTCTGAAATGAGAGGTTGTGACCCCTTGTGAGGTTTCAGAACTTACAAATGACATCAAGTGGCATCAGGCCAAATTCAACTGGAAAAGCCTTGCATGTACTGGAAGTGGGATTGCATGCCCTAAAGTAGGGTCATAGATTCAGTGGTTCTCAACCTTTTGAGGTCCAAAAGACACCTTGGAAAATACCAGCTCTTAGCTTTCACTTGCATTTTGTCTATGGAAAAATAATAGAGTGAATCTTCTGTTGCAAAGAAAAACCAAAGCAGGTCAGAAATGTTTTTGACACTATGGATTCCTATTTGAAATCCCTGGGTTTATTTTGTGAATCATGTGTGGGTGTCTGCACACCTAATAGTACTAATATTGTACAGCACCCCACAGTACCCTGAAAAGCATCTCACGGCCCCTGTGGCACCCTGGTTGAGAATCTCTGATCTATGACATACATGATTAACATCCTCCAATTTTGGTCAGTTGTGGTCAGTCTGTGACACTTACACTAGACAGTTCAAGGGAGTATTTAAAATGCATCAAATATTTATGGTGTTAAACTAAGCTATGGGGTAACCTGAGTCTGGAGATAGTTCTGTAAAATTAAATTTGGGTCTAGTGTCATATGAAGGAAGTCAGGAGATTAGTAAAGGTCTGGCTAGAATAAATTAACCAGGAGCTCTGTAAGGGTTTCCACATATTGATAGCAATAGTCATATTTGGTCTTCTCAGTCTTTACTTGTTGATGCTCCGATTGCCCCAATGAGTATTGCTGGAAGAGCCATCACAAGACAGCCAAAAGCAGCCAGAAATGATAATACTTGAGCATACATGGCAGAAGATGAAGAAAGAACTCGCTGAAAGTATGCTTGCCATGGGATTCCTCCCAACATCTGCAAATATAAAACATAACCGGTCATTTCTGGTTGACAGAGGGTTTCTTCAGAGTATTTACAGGCACTGAAACAAACATCACCAATCGTATGCTCTTCCCCAAGGTTATTATTACCTCATTTATAGACTGATTACCAAAATTTCAGTCTGCCACCACCCTTAAGAAACAAATATTTTCAGCCTTAAAGTACGTACAATACCTATGTTTAACCACATCTCTCCTTTGTTAGGCAAGATATTTCTTTGAACAATTCTCATTAATACGTTGCACTTGTGACAAGGATCTCAATGAGATTCATGTACTCGATTAACCCTTTTAATAGGTTTGAAAAAATTGTTAACCCATTTCATGTGTGAAGAAAACTGATGAACAAAGCCCTTTCCAAGTCAACAGTCTACCTTAAGAAATAGTGGAATATAATACCACCATATTCTCTTGGTGTTAGTATCTAAATGATGCAACACATGCTATGTAATATTTGATTTTCACCTTCCTCATTAAGCATTTATTCTGTTAATCTAGTTTTTGGCAGGAGTGCCACAAAGTAAGTCCCACACCCTCCTTAAAATGCTACTTTAATCTCCTCCCCCTACCCATTCATCATTCTGCTCTCTGCTTCGTGCCCTGTGCTCTGTGCCTGATCTATTGCTACTCTGCCTTGTGCTTTTTGTTGTGTGTTCCTTGCCTGATCTGCTGCTCTGCTTTCTGTTCTCTGCCCTGTTTGCTGCTGTGCTGCCTGCCTCCTATCTAATCTGCTACATGCCACACACAGAGGCTGCCCAAGACACTTGTGGCACATGTGGCACAGGTTGGCCACCCTTGTCCTAAGCCACGGACCCATAATAATATCAATAGTAGGTCTTACACAGAAATGGCACAGATCTTTCAAACCATAAAAAGGGAAGACCTGTTTTTCTTTAAAAATGCAGTACCTTTTGTCTTCTGCCTTCTTGTGTATTAGAAATAGCTTTGAGTACATTTTAAATTACAAAAATATGTAAAAGAATAATGCTGAAAAGTTGAGCACTATGACTTCTGCCTTCAGAGCCAGGCCAGTAGTGTATGAAAAATAAGGGACTGGGCACACAGCAAACAAGGAGAAAACAAACTATTGAATGGTTACTCACTAAATGAACAGTACATCCTAGGCATTGAATAAAGTAGGGGGCCTGCAGAAATAAGACTAGTTCAATAATGCATTAACACAAAGGGTACACCCAGATGAGTGTGGACGTGTAGTATGTGGCAATCCTGGGGTCAAAAATACCCATGCCAAAAAAAAAGCAGGGTGGTGCACATGGTGGCAGCATGCACCACCTAAAGCCAGAGCCTGGCTGGCTGCAGTCACTCTCTCTGGCTGCCGGCCAGGCTCCCTGCTGCAGGAGTGCTGTGGCTGCAGCTCCCAGAGGGCCTCAGGACCCCAGGTAAGGCTGCTGACCCCAGTCTCCCCTACTCCCACCTGGGGTAACCTGCCATGCCCCAGAGTGCCCATGGCTTGGGCATTCCCTGGGGACAAGTAGCAGTGGCCATTGTGACTGCTACTTGTCCCAGAGGAAATACATGTTCCCCCTTATGGGGATGCACCCAAGAAGGTTGTGCGGTTCCTATCTTCTGGGCACGTCTACATAAGATGTTTACTGCAGAGCTGACTAATTAGCTCTGCAGTAAACATACCAGCATCCACACGTGCACCCCTGTTAGGGCACAGGAAACTAATAAACTCCATAGCAGGGTAGTACTTATAAATACAGCAGCAGTGCATGTGTAGATGCTGAGCTGGCTGGCTGGGGCACAAGGGTGTTTCAGTACAGGGGTGGCCTGTTGTCTAGCTCCTGCACTGAAGCACCCTTATGCCCCAACCAGCCCCTCTGCAGCATGTTGGATTGGTCAGAGCAGCCCTAGGCTGGCAGGCTGATCCCCCGGGCCCCTACCAGCATCCATGTGCTGCACAAGAATAAACTCTGGAGTGGATTGCTTTGGAGTTAACTGCTCCTAGGCATACATTCAAATGGTGTGCCTGGGAGCAAAAATCTGGAGAAATAAGTTCCAGAGTTTATTAATATGCACTAATTGCACATGCAGACTCACCCTCTGAGTGCTAGTGTTGTAACCTTAATAAAATTGCAAGGTAAAAAAAATGTCAGTTCCATTAAATAGTATCATATTGACACTCATTTAGTTCCTAATGGGTTGAAACATCTAGATACACCAAACAGACCTCTGACACTTGAGTTAATGGACTAACTGATGGCACTTCAGTAAAGGCCACTCATGCCATCAGCAAGGAAGGCAAGCAACCATTTACATTTGCTAGATCTCATAGATTTTTATCTTAAAAGTAATTCTTAAAACAATGGTTCCTGCACATTTGTGGACAAACAGCTTGCCCTCAGCTGTTTGCACCTCAGTACATGTGCAAATGTAATTTACTGCAGAGTAAACCCATTCTGGGCAGGCATCTCCATGTACAGGCATTTGGGAGCAGATTTGCTCCCACCTTGCTCTGCCTCCCTACAGCAGCCAGGGATAGCCAGGGGCTGGCAGGGAGCATGGGACCAAGACAGCTGTCTCCTGACTGGGGCTGGGAAATTGCTCTCTGCCCCTGGGAGCTGCCTACTGCCAGTGCAGGCTCTGATGGCAGAGCTCAGGCTGGGATAGTGTCCCTCTGCCCAGCAGCAGGGAGCTCCTGGTCCCAGCTCCATGATCAGAGCAAAAGTTAATCTGATTGCGGAGCTGGGACCAGGAGCTCCCTACTGCCAGGGAAGGGGGACATTGTCCTAGCATGGGTTCCACCATTGGAGTCTGCCTTGGCAGCAGGCAGCTTCCGGGGGCAGGGAGCAATCTCCTGCCTCCTACTGCCTGGCTGACCAGAAGCAAATTTGCTCCTGGTCAGCCATCTACATGTGCCTTACTGTGCAGTAACTACTTTGCAGTTAATTTTTTACCTGAATTTGCAGGTAGCAAATTAACCATGGAGTAGACCAATTTACTGTGCAGTAAGCATCTGCACATGTAGACAGTGACGCTTACTGCGCAGTAATTTGGTGTACTGTGCAGTAAAGTGTCTTGTGTAGATGTGCCCAGGAAGGTTTTTTGCATTACTGCTCAACTTGCCTCTTATAGCATCTATAAATTTAATGGGACCTAGTCAGTCTCAAGGCTGCTAATGATCCAGCACCAGCAGAGTCTGACTAGAAGAATCAGCCTACCTTGCCACTTTTTGATTGTCAAGTGAGCCCTCCATATGTACGTTAGACTGTAGTAGGTTGTCATTTTCCACTTCCTCTTTTCTATCCTGGCCCTGTTCCAGGCCTGTCTTTTACTCAGTCCTAGCGGCGGAACTAGAGTTGCATTCCCCTTTGGCTGTGTTGCAATTGAGCTCTGTGCGCGGGCCATGCCCGAAGTTCCAAACTCCTGCTTCAGCCACTATCAGGTTTCCCACATGTGATCCATTATCTGCAGTGTCCTTGCAGTACAGTCCCTATGCTCTACTCCCATATTGTCACTCAGACTTTTTCCCTTTTCTTATCCTGTCTTCAGTCTCTCCCAATGCTCACATTCCTCAATCCTGCTGGTTTCCAGTTCCAGTCTCTTTCTCCAGGTGCTTTGACCAATCTCAGAATCCACTTCCCTCCAAAATTGGTCCCATCCTCTTTGTCCTAGTTCCCTCTGCTCCCCCCTCCCCCCCCCCCCCCCCCCCCAACTGTGCTCCTATCTGGTCTGTCTCTCTGCTCTGTCCACTTCATCTACTTCATCTCACTCCACAGATCTCTAGTTATAGCTCCTTGCTGGCCTCAGTATCCACCACCCCAAAATCTCCTAGTAACTCTTAAATCTCAATCCTACTAACTCTCCAGCCCAACAAACTTCAGTCCCAGTCTTCTCTCCAGGTTTCAGTATTTTCCCTCCAAGTCCTTTCACTGGCCCTGCAGGTTCAGCTCTTGTCACCTCTACACTTGAATCAGGCAGACCTCTTCCTTCAGTCCCTTTAGCAATGCTTCCATTCACAGCATAGGAGAGAGAGTCTTTTTATTCTCTATTCAAGTACCTGAATTCAGTCTGGACATGGCCCAGAGCAGCTAAAAATTATAAGCCCTTACCCCTTGTACTCAGATCACTGCTTTCTATTTAGAAGCTCTGCTCCTTGCAGTCTCTTCATAGTATCTGATGAAGTAAACTGTTGACTATGGAAACTTATGTATCTCTGTTTTTGTTAGTATATATTCTATAAGATGCATTTTTACCTTGCCTTCCGCTTAAGTTCAAGGAAAATCTTGCTTAGTTCCATGCAGACTTAGGCTGAACTATGCTTAGTGCAGAAGCTGTGAAATCTTACCAAGGTTCTATTTAGCAGTGTGGCAAAGCCATAAACAACTTATCCACAGTTTTGCAAGGGCCAATAATGTGGTAAAAACCTGTATGAATTTTCTAGAGAACAGAAAGTTCCATCCCTGACAAAGTCCATCAAATTTTAGTTCCATGGGCAAGATAATATATTTTCTTAGTTAAATTTTTAGAGACAGCTGAAAAATTTTTGGTTAATTTTTTCAGAATGACCCCAAACCAACCAACCAACCAACCAACCAAAAAACCCAGTGTGAGCCATCCACTTGGCATGGAAAAATTTAACACAAATTGTTAAAAGGTGGCACTTACATGCTACTGAAAACATAGTCTTGTAATGGGAAGGGTTTGTTAACTTAATCAATGGGTGGAGCTATTATTGTTGCCTAAAATAAATGGATTTCATGATCATTAAACACTTCCGCTTCATTATAGAATGTATATCTGTATCCACCAATCAAAGTTTTCTCTGAATCACCTGCAATTGTGACATCATCAATCATCTGCATAAACAGGGCTGTCCAACTTCAGCACAACTGGGGGCCACACATGACACTGGCATGTTGCTCTCTGGGCCACATACTGTGCTGGCCATACACTGCTAGGCTGAGCCTCTGGGATCTCTTTACCCCACCACATGGGCAGTGCTGGTGGTGTGTGCCCCCCATAACATATCCAATGTGCACAGGCAATGTGCAGCCCTTTCCAGTGCCTTGCAGTGTGGGTTGCATGTTCAGCGCACAGTCTCTTACCTGCCATGTGAACAACACTGATAGCATATGTCCTTCTCCCCTGACCCCCTGCTCTGCAACTGTGGTAAAGGTGGTTGTGGGGGCCTGTGGGCCACATGCTGGTTCCCCATGGGTGGCATGCAGCCTGGAGGCCACCAGTTGAACAGCCCAAGGCATAAGCTATTTCTTGCTTCCTATGACACACTCCTCTGCTGGGAACATTATCCGTTAAATGTTATCCCTTAGCCTGTTAATTAACTTAGCAGAATGGTTGTCAGGGGTGACTGGTGCCTCCCGAGTCTGGGGTGTGGGGCGGGGGCAGGGAGGGAAGGCACAATTTGTGGGTGGGCCTGTGGGCAGGCCAAAAGTCCCATATCCACTTCTATACTTCTGTGCCATGGCTTTGTGCCCCGTATCCCACGACACACTGCCGGCCCTCATGGCAAAAAAACTGTCTCATCCTGAGTGGGGGCAACATGCTCTGTGGCCAGAGGCTGCTAGAGCACCAGCAGCAGGCAGCCCAGCACCAGCAGGCAGAGAATGTGCTGTTGCTGGTGCCCAAGGTCCTCCCACGGCCAGAGGCTGCTTGAATGCCATCAGCAGGCAGCCCAATGCAAGCAGGCAGAGCATGAGCTGCTGCTGCTCCATATCCCCCTGTGGTTCTGGGCTGCCTGCTGCTGCTGCTTGGGTGGCGTCTGCCCATGGGAGGAACTATAGCAACAGAAGCAGCAGCAGCAGTGGTTTCCCTGTGGGCAGGGCTGCCATCTTTACAGCTACCTTTCTTGGACCCTCTAGATGTGCTCTGTGGACCATGGGTTGAAAACCTAAGTCAGTTTTCATAGCTAAAAATATATATAGTTATTTTGGTAATGGTTCTCTACTTTGGAGCTACTTTGAAGTGAAACATTGCTGTATTTATTGAAATCAATCTACTACCAGCAAACATATGCGGTATTCATCAACAGTCGAGAGGTCAAAAATCTTGAGGCAGTTACTGGCAATTTTTAATTAGACACTTCACTTTCACAAAAATCACAGAAGACCTTATGAGTAGGGACATATCGAATTCGAGGTGACTGACCTCCACTTTCATAGGCAGAATGCAGGGCCCAGCAGCCATTTCATGGGCGGGCTGTGGCAGCCCCCTATACCTCTGATTGGCTGAGGGACTCCATCGGCCCTGCCTCTCACCACTGATTGGCTGCAATGGCTACCTGTCATACAGCCCCATGCCTCACCACTGATTTAGCTGAGAAGGCTGCCTGTCATGTGGCTCTGCCCCTCACCACCAATTGGTGGAAAGGCAGAGCCACATGACATGCATCCCTAGAAGCCAATCAGTGGTGAAGTGCGGGAGCAGCAGCCATCTTGCCGGCAGCCCTTCAAGCAGGCAGACCCCCATGCCCTCTGAGGACTGCTGGCTCCCCCTGGGGAGGCAGCAGTTTCTTTTTGGTAAGTTTTTTCCTGTGGATTTCATGGGCATTGCCTGATTTCATGCTGGATTTTGCAAAATCTGTGAAATCACCTACTTATGAGTGATTACATACTTTACTTTCTTGCGCATTCATCACTTACCAATAAAAGGAAATTGTCAATCCAGGTATAGACATCAAGTGATTTTATATTTCCAAGCCAAGGTTCCTGGTGTACTTTCTTCACAGCTGTGCGCCCAATGTCTTCAACTGCAGGATGCAACATTGCAAAAGGAACACTGATCCACTACAATCAAAGAGTGACATTTTATTTAGATTTTAAGAGTGAAAATAGTAAAGTCGAAAATGAAAAAAAACCCCTATTTTCTTTATTATTTGATTCAGTCCTAATGTCAGATTGGAACACAAGAGAATCAAGTTTGCTGCTGGTATAACTATGCCAATAAAGAATAAGCAGTCCCCTAAGCACATATCAAATTCATGTGTCTGTATATTTTATAGAATGAATTATTCTATACATTCCCACGCTTTTGAAAGTTAAACCCCTCTTCAGGAAAATGAAACCTACTACAACCCTGAAGCAAGGCCAGTTGTTGTTATAGACCTACATCTTTGAATTCATGTAACTCCTGTATTCTTCACTCTGAGCATCCTTTGCATGCCTTTAGGGTAAGGCTCACCAGATTTTGGGGAATGCCACTACCAAAAAGTGGATGAGATTATGTATTAACATGAGAGAGAGCTAGAAAAATCAATTTCATTACATTGTGGGGATTTGGAATGGAGTTTTGATCTATGGGGAATGAAAGCACAATCTATTAAAAAATCATGAAAAAAATATGGGCAAGCCCCTTCTTCAGGTACTCCCTTGAAATGTGGAAATACAGGTTTAAGTATCTGCTCTTTCTCAGATCAGGGACTTGAATCTTTGGTCTTCACACATCAGGAAAGCATCATAGTATTTAGCAAACAAGGTTCTTTGGGTATTTAGCTATCTTCTGTTGTCTTTTCTTTGCTCTCTTTTGTTTTTCTTTTCTGTCTCTAGTTTGGATCAGAAATTCTATTCTAGACCTGAGAAACTTTCCTAATAAAAAATTAGTTGAAACATACCTTTTTCAGAAACAGTTTTTGTTTCTATGAATTGTCATTTTCTGAGAAATAACAATCTGCTCTAATTAACTTTCTGACAAATTCTGTCTCATTCAACAAATCAATTTTGGGGCCTTAATTCTAATTTAGCCTACACCTATTTTATATTTGAATAATTTAATTAGTTCCAGTGAACTTATTCCCAAATTGCATTGATGAATATTAGATGAAAATTGGGTCTACATATATAGTATGTAAAATATAGAGAGGACCTATAGCATGTGGCAGGAAGCCACCTTTGTTTCTCTACCAAAAACTGTGCTCTGTGACAATTTGATAAGGTTGGGCCCAGCAGAGAGAGACATCCTTACCCTATCTCTTTAGGTAACCTGAGCTGGATACATTCCTGAGGGAGGGGGGAAACCTGCTCCCTCTGCCTACGTGACTGGCATCACATACCTGGGTGAGGGGCTTCCTTCCTGGTGGGCTAGAGTCTGCCCGGCAACTAGTGATGTATTTCAAATTGGTTGGCTGACAGCCAACAGGTGCTGGCCTCCATTGGACCAGGTAAATGAGGTCACAGGGCCTATATAAGTGAAGGCCGGCCGGGGAGGAGGGGGCACCAGCCATGAAGGATACTCAGGAACAAAGAAGAGCTGTACCATCTGAAACTTGCCCTCTCTCTCAAAACTCATGATCAAGGAACTGCCTGCCTCCAGAGGGATTCTCCAACAGCCTCTGGATGATACTTGTGAGTAGCTAACTGAGATCCAACTAGATATATAGCTTGCAGTAACTCAGATGTGAGATCAAAGGTTACCCCAGCCACAGGAGTTTGCTCTATGGGATTTCTCTGATATTGCTCTACCCTGTACCCTATTCTAACCCTACCCTCTGTAACCAATAAAGTTCTCTTTTGTGACTGGTGTAGGAGACTTATTAAGGGGTGGGTTTAATTATGCCTAGGAGGCCCTTTGGGTCTGCGGACTAGGGAAGACTATCCTTTTTGGCCCCTGACTTGGGGAAGTGCCCCAGGTTCTTGTATTGGGTTGAGTACCTGTAGGACTATTAGGCCTGTGTTTCCCCAAGGACACAGGCCCTAGACAGTCCCTTCTCAGGGTGGTAGCAGCATACGTTACCCCTGGACTCAGCGGTGGGGCTCGAAAGGGGGTCTGCCAGGGCTTAGGCACCCCTGGAGAGAGACATGGAGTCCGGAAGGTGGATGGGCATAGTGAGGTGGGAGGCTCAGTGCAGGAGCTCCCCCTACTGGCCTGCCACATAGCACATCCAATTAAAGTTACTCAATACTTTCCAAAAGATTTTCAGTTGCTTGTAACTTTGTCAGACTGGGCATTTGGTTACAAATTTCCATTCTGAGTGTGTGTTTCCAGCTGAATTTTTCTGAGAAAATTTCTTGAAAATGGTTCAGCTATCTCCAATACTAAGGCTATGAAATAATGAGTTGCTTTGCTGATGGAAAAAAAAATCTGGGAATCTTTTCTTTAGGAAGCTGTATTACTCTGCTCTGGAATAAGGACTTGAATTATGGCTGCACCTTTCTTTTGTCCTTCTGAAAATATGCCAAATTTACCAAGTTATAAACCCCTGAAAAATTGCACTTTGCACATGCTCAGTTGTGACATCTTAGATTTTAGCAGAGAAACATTTGGGGGATTCATTTTGGTCTGAACAAGCTTCAGCTCAGGCTTTCTTTACAATTTCAGCTATGAGGTGCTACAAATGATTCTGGATCCAAGCAATGGAACTGATAACAGGGAGCCTAAATTTACCACTGGCCCCTGTCAACATGGAGTAGGAAGCTATCTGGTTTAAATGCAAAGTGAATGAAAGTTGGACATAAGAGGTGAGATGAGAAGCATGCTGAGACAAAGAGTGAAGTAAGAAATTGGGACTGGAGACTGACTCAGGGAGAGAGGAAAACTGGGACTTAGATCTAAGGCAGGAAGGGCCTGGAAGGGAGTCAGGGATAAAGTGGGACTGGTTGGGTAAGGAAACTAAAGACAGGGAGTGATGGAAAAGGAGAAGAAACTAGAAATGCCTGGGCAATAATATGGCATTGACTGTGCCTAGAGATATGGGAATTCTTGCAAGGTAGAACTAGGACTTTCTGAGAAAGGAGACGGGACTATGAGGTAAAACCAGAGAAATGAGGATGAGGAACCAGGGATGGGAAAACACACTGGATTAGGACAGGGGTGCATGGGGACACACATGAAGAGAAAGGGAAAAAGAGTTTGTGCTCAGTAGAGCACAAACTTTTGCAGCGTGGATTTGGACCTGATGCTCTTGACTTGCACCAGTCTTCTCCTGTCAGCAAATTGCTGTGAGACCCAGTAGAAAGAGTCCTATTCCCATTGAGTGCTGGCCAAAACAGAAGATGACAACCACGGTTATCAGTTATTCCAACAGCGCAAGTCATAAAGATCTGTTTTTTATATGTATAGGTCTCAACCCCATGATTAGTCATGTGGCTGGCAATATTCCATACAACACACATTCTGATCTCTAGTTTTTTCTGGCAATATTCCATACAACACACATTCTGATTTTTAGTTTTTCTCTTTAAATAGGAAATTAAATCTGATATGTTTTCAAAAAGAGTATTACTGAGGATAAGCAAAGTTCTTCATTCAGAAATGAGAAAAAGCTGGAATGAAAGCTCCATGTGTAACCTTAGTTTGCTTTCTCTTGTGCACATGCATTTTTATAGTTTTTAAGCACATAATCACATACTATTTTTTCCACAGGACTCATCCTTGTTCAGTGCACATGCTGGATAGTACTTAATGAATAGTCATTATTAGATATTTTCTTTTCTTATTGTTAAATGTGTGGCCCTGTTCTCTATTCTCTGTATACTGTTCAAACCATACTTTGGGGACAGACATATGCAGATGTATGCATTGGTTCCAAAGAGGATGGAGCTAGACTGTTCTCAGTGATGGCAGATGACAGAACAAGGAGCAATAGTCTCAAGTTGCAGCAAGGGAAGTTTACGTTGGATATCAGGAAAAATGTTCTCACTAGGAGGGTGCTGAAGCAATGGAACAAGTTAACTAGAGAGGTGGTGGAATCTCCATCCTTGGAGGTTTTTAAGGCCTGGCTTGACAAAGCCCTGGCTGGGATGATCTAGTTGGGGATGGTCCTGGTTTGGGGAGGGGGTTGGGGTAGATGGCCACCTGAGGTCCCTTCCAACCTTAACTTTCTATGATTCTATGGGCATTTCCAAATGAACGCGGCCATGAGGTATGTGGTGCTGCAAACATGTCTGTGGCATCACATACCGCACAATCAGGTATTCTTCATGCTTCAAGGGCATACTGTCTGTGCATGCACTGCTCCATTTTTTTCCCCATGGTTTTTTTTTGACTAAGAAACCATGGAAAAAAATCCCAGAGCAGCTCACGTGCAGGCAGCATGCGCTGCTGAAAAGTGGAGCCAGGTTGCTGAGAGCCGTGCTGTGGCTGCCAGCCAGGATCCGTCTGACAGGATTGCTGCTTCTGCAGTCCCGGGAGGTCCCCCAGGACCCTAGGTAGGGCTGCTGGGGCCAGAACAGTGCTGGCCTCAGCCTCCCCACCCAGTGTAACTTGCTGCATGCCAATGCGCGTGTGGCATGGGTAGTTCCCCAGGGACAAGCAGCTGCAGTGAAAGATGTGCCCGTGCTACTTGTCCCCAGGGAACCAAATGTCCACGCTTGTCTGGACATGCCCTCTGATTCTATTTCCATGTGGGTATCTCTATGGCATACATGATTATATGATCTACATTTAAAAAAAAACATTTTAATTGATCTCAGCATGCTGATTAGGTGAGGATGGCACTGTTCCCATTTTATGTATGGAGAATTAAGGCATAGACAGTTTAAGTCCAAGTTTGTGTCTTATCTGAGAGGTTCTGGACGTGATTTATCTGGGTACTATAGTGTTTTAAAGCACAACTCCCAAGAGTTCAGTTTGAGCTGTGAGCATACAGCATTTCTGAAAATTAGACCACAGGGTCTCAAGTCAGGCAACCAGAAAATGAAGAATAGACAATTAGCAAACACCTGTTTATTTTGGTTTGTTACATTTCTAGCATCACACAGGAACTCTGTGATGGAGGCAGGGGTAAAAATCCAGGTCCCCAGGGCAGTATTCGGTTGTCTGAACCATGATTCCATTAGTTTTTAGTTTTCCTAATTCATTCAATGCACACCTTCCAAATTCTGCAACAAAACTCATCAAATGAAGAAAAGAGGCTGTACACTCCTGGTTAAAACCCAGAGCAGAGTTTGAAAATTGTGCAGTTAATCGGACAGAGTGCCACTCATTGAACAATAAGGAGCTAAAAAATATTCAATAGATGCTCACAGAACAGACACTGGCCATTCTCTGCATGAAAGGAGCATTTGACCCATGTAAATAATCATAGAATCATAGAAAACTATGATGGAAGGGACCTCTAAAGGTCATCTAGTCCAACCCCCTGCTTGAGGCAGGATCAACCCCAATCAAAGCATCCTATACAAATCCTTGTCTAACCTATTACTAAAACTATGCAGTCAAAACTGTCACAACTGCAAGGTATAGCACCCTACCCTACCACAGGTAAAGGACAAGTTGTTATATGCTTGGGAGATCCAAGGAAAAGGGCTATGTCCACTGTTACAGAGGAAAGCAAAACTCCCCAGTCTGTATCAATATGACCACGGGGTAAAATTACTTCCTGACCCCAAAAACAGTGATTGGTCTAACCTTAAGTAGAGGGGCAAGACACTCTAGCCAGGAACTTCTGGATTTAAGTCCCAGCAGGAACATTGACACATCCTAGTCAAAATCCCCAGCCTTGGCTGCAGCCACCACCCAATGTTTCTAGGAAGGTGAATTGTCCTCCTCCTCACCCCTGACACATGTAGCAACAGGAGGGGGAAAAATTCCTTTCCAGCCCCATGCGGCAACCAGCAAAAACATACAGCTAAAAAAATCTGTTCCTGTTATCAGTCCTGAGGAAGAAATAGTAGGTCGTCAGGTATTTAAAGACTCCATTACTACATTGATGCACAAGGGAACCAAATTAAACAGGCAGACCTGATTCTTAGCATTTTTTAGTGTTTGAGTACTTACTTTGTAACTTTAATAATTATTCTTTTTATATATAAGCTTTTCTTGAGTGTTGGTGTGGCGGTGGGAGGACAGGACACCATGCAGAGATTGGTATGGGGCATATTCTTTGCTATCTCTGTTTTATGTTGGGCAAATAAAACAGGGAAAGGTAGTTTAGTCAAGGGAGAATAGGGGAGATGGGGGGGCTACAGTGGTGCAGTTGCACCCCCCAGTTTTGATTCCTGCTTTACCCAATGTTTAAAATGAATTGCCTGGTAGTGATAGCAGCATCTATAGTCAGGCAGCAGTGATGGAGTCACTTCATGGCTCATTATAATCTACCTGATTCCTTCTAAACTTCATTCCATAGGAATTAACAACCCTTCTTTTCTAATTGTCTTAATGTTCTAATCAAGCTATTGTTTCTGCTGCAATTCTGCTGTTTGCTAGCTGCTCCTGGTAATGCAGCTTCTATTTCACAGCCCTATAGGCTGTGAAATGCTTCAGGTGGGGAAAAATTAACTCAGATTTGGAAATAACTTTCAGTGAAGCATTGGGTGCACAGTCAGGATGCTTGATTTTGTTTTATGAATCTGGAAGAGATGTATATTATGTGTAAAGAGATCGGCCACTGGTGCCCACCCAGAGTCACCAGTCGCCCATGTGCCTGAGTTTACAATAGCGATGCAGGATCCTATTCTCTAGCTCACTCCAGTCTCCTTTCAGCTAGTGCAAAACCTCTTGTAACTTCCTGGTGTGCAGAAGCACCAACAGGCATAAAGTTCTGGAGCTGACACCTTCCTTGCAGCCAGTGGCACAAAAGATAGGAAAGGCAGAGAAGAAAGCACTCCAGAAATACCCCCCACACAATTTTTCTAGAGTCATGGCAAGATCTTGGATTTTGAAAAGGGAGGTGAAGATTGTGCACTGCAGTATCACATATAACACAACACATTTTTTTCTCAAGGTAAAAAGAAACTGAAAGCTTTAATAGTATGCTAGGGGGCCATACGGATCTAATGACTACAGGATTAAAGAAACATCTTTTGAGTATTTCTGCCTAGTTTGTGTTTTTTAATACATACTGGGTGCATCTACACCTGACGCTACATTGCTGCAGCAATGCATTCCCTCATAGTGTGCTGCTACGGTGACATAGCAGCTAAAGATAACCATGCATGGCTGGCATGGCACAGTATAAGCTGTTACTGCACCAACATTTAGTACTTCCAAAAGAAAGTACTAAATGATGGTGCAGTAACAATGGCACCATACAGCCACGTGTAGACGCACCCGATGCATGATATAGCAAATTACTGCACATTTCGATAAAGTTATGTGCTTGTTTTGGCTTTGATCTTAAACCGAATAATATAGTCCTAGGCCCCCTAGCATACTATTAAAGCTTTCGGTTTCTTTTTACCTTGAGAAAAAAATGTGTTGTGTTATATGTGATACTGCAGTGCACAATCTTCACCTCCCTTTTCAAAATCCAAGATCTTGCCATGACTCTAGAAAAATTGTGTGGGGGGTATTTCTGGAGTGCTTTCTTCTCTGCCTTTCCTATCTTTTGTGCCACTGGCTGCAAGGAAGGTGTCAGCTCCAGAACTTTATGCCTGTTGGTGCTTCTGCACACCAGGAAGTTACAAGAGGTTTTGCACTAGCTGAAAGGAGACTGGAGTGAGCTAGAGAATAGGATCCTGCATCACTATTGTAAACTCAGGCACATGGGGTAACTGGTGACTCTGGGTGGGCACCAGTGGTCGATTGCTGACTGGGGGGGCTCCCAATTTCAGGGGGGGCACATGCCCCCCTGTTCCCACTCAACATGTCGCCTAGGCTCAGGCACATTGGAGCAAATGTAGCAGTTCTGCTGTGCAGGGTGGATTTGGAGGCTTTGAATAATGAAAAGGAAGTAAGAGACATTGGTTATGGGCAGGTGTATGGCCAAGAATACACTCAGCTCTGTGGATCTTGCCATCCTCCATTCAGTGGAAGCCCTTTGGGGTTATAGAGGACTATTTTGTAGCACTGTTAAGGTGAAGTAGTGATGCCTTTTTAGGGCCACTGTTCTCTAGCCAAGTGAGGGAAAAGATTCTTTTTTCCCCTACTTCCTGTCAAGACACCCACGTCCTAATCTGCAATTAAGGAAGAGCATTTGGTCTCTGATGGGTGCTGAGTCCCATTGCTGAGAGCAAAACCACTTTGCTTTGAAAAATGGAAAAAGATAGTCAAACTCACCAGCCCCAGGAAGATGCAGAAGAGCTGAACCACATCAGTGTAGGCAACTGAGTACAGTCCACCCACTACAGTGTACATCGTTGCAATCAGAGCAGAAACAATAACTGAAATATTGATATTTATATCAATTATCACACTTATTGTTTTTTTTGGGGGCCCGGGGGGGGGGGGGGGGCAACAAAATACAAATTGTTAGCTGTTTGTTCTTTCTTTTTAAAAAATATTCTCTAGGCCAATGGCTTGCACTGGTTTCAAAATTTGTATCATTCTACAATGCAGAATGGTTCTCTTTGGCTCTGCCATGCCTTTATAATACAGCCTAGATGAAGGAGTGGCAGGGAGCTGCACTCTCCTTCCTCCCATGGAGAGTTTCCTTGAGTATTTATGTGGGGAAAAGTTTACTTTTGCCAGTGCTGCCATCTGTTATTCAGGCCAGTTCATGGTGATGGAATAGATAAAGAGCCTTGAGTTTCCAACACAGCTTTTTAAGGCAGGAGGGAAAGATCAGACCTGGTGGATTTTCCTTACTGGAAAGTTAACCTCTCTATGTGGAGAATGGCCCATTAAATTCAAGGGCATAAAATGGTTACATTTGTTCACACAGAAGCTATAATTCAGAAGCCTCCTAGGTGTATAATCATTAACTTTCGGTTGTTAAGACACCAAAAATTTTTCACAATACTTGCTTTGAAATACCACATAGACCCTTCTCCAAAATTATCTGAGCTTCATTCAGAAAAGAAAGCACATTTTAAATCCTTAGAAAATACTTCAGGCCACTCATCTCACATCACCTCAGCATGAAATTTGTTCTCAAATTTTAAGAGTTTTGTGACAAAATTATGGTAAACAAGTTTCCCATTGCTTTGTAGCTAATCAGAGCACAGTGGGAAAAAAGCTCCAAATTTTATTTTTTGTTTTAAAAAAAGATTGTGCTAAAAAATAAAGGCAATATGGGTGCATTGTGCGTATTATTTGCTGGTAAACAATTAAGGGAGCTAATGGTTACTCAACTAAAGGGCTTTCTCACTTTTAAAAGAGACAGAAAATCCAAGTCTCTGTTATAATTAAAGAGCTCAGCAACATAACTATTTTCAGGGATGGATGAGAAGTTTGGTGATTTTGTATTGAGCCATGTTTCAGTTAGTTCTCTGAATCATTTGAGTGCTAGGATTTTTATTATCATTCTTATTTTGAGAAGTACAGATGCATAATAAACTTGGATTCCCTGATAAGTTTCAGGTCCAGAAAAAGCACTTTATAGCTTCTTCTGCTGTGGTCAGATGGAAGTGACTATACTATTTATATGTATTGTCAATAAAGTTGTGTGGCTATTTTTTAGAGCTGTTATAATTTTTGTGACTGTGAGGCTGTTCAAACTTAGCACAAAGAGATATACTTTTATTTGGAATATAATCACTCAAGTCCCATTACAATTAAGGAAAGTGATGTAGCTAAAACTTTTCTTGTTGCTTTGAAAACATTTTGCTCAAAAATAAAGACTCTAGAACACTTCATTTAGTGCTGAGGCAATCAAGGTTCTTATAATCAAATAGATGGAAACCATCCCTTTCCAAACTGTCTGGCCAAAACAATCAGTGTTTAAAATCAGCCCCTGGATTTAGCAGTTGATTTTTAATCTATGCTGCTTTCATGAGTTTCTGATATTCTTTACTTGTCCTTGAGGCAGTGAACTATTATTTTATTTTATTACTAATTCCTTACCTAATGCAGAAAATATGGCGGCAGCCCAGAACATTTCTCCCATTAATGCAGGGATAAACAACAGCCCTCCCATTCGTTTTCCATACATCTGCTGGAAAGGGTCTAACATTGTAACATAGCCTTTGGAACGCATAGGTTTTGCAAAAAACAGACCACCTAAAATGTTAAACATTAAAAGACATCAATGTGAGTGGAGAAATACATTTACCTTAAGTAAAACCTTGCTGTTTTTTGCAGGTATACAAATAGTAGCCATACCGTATTTTTACAGAAATAAGTATAATTAAAAATATCCTACAAAGGAGATTTTATTTTGGGATAAGAAAAGGGCTTTTTCCAAGAGTAGGATAAAACTAAAAGAAAATCATTAACAATCCTTACCTGCAATATGGTCTAATTATGAAATAAATCTGGACTTTTAAGTCTCTATGGTTCAGGGATTTCAGCCTGCTGTTGGTGGCACTCAGTGGCCTTTCATCTAACAGTGTTGCTTAGCTTACAAACAGCATATTGGTAGAGCACAGGAGATTGTTTTTTGCTCATATTTTAATTATGTAGTTGTCCAATGCATCACTACCCTCCAGAAATGGAAACAAGTACTGAAATGACCTCAGGTCTGGTTTTCTTCATAATGTTATTCCATATCTATATAATTCAGGCTTCATTATAGAGCTCTAATGTATTCAATGGAATCTGAAATATGTATTTTAATACTAAATAGTATTAAAATACATATTTTAATCCCATCAAGGTATGGTGGACCTAGAACACAGGCCTTCAAATTTATGGGTAAGTGCTTGGTGAATCTTGGTTCCTAAGCAATTTTGCACCCACTGAACATGGTTGACTCAAACACCCAGATTTTGCCCAAGCCTTCTGGCCCATAGGCTCCATATGCCCCAGATTCACATCAGTAAAATGGGGATAATGCAATTGTGAAGCTTTCAGATACTATAGTGACAGACATCATCAAAGCACCTAAGGGAGGTGAACTGAATAAGCAAAAGCTAATAAAAAATATAAAAATATAAAAGATATAATATAAAAAAAAGAAGAGAGGAGAGAGAGGAGAAGAGCAGAGAAGAGAAAAGCTTGTTTGATTGCCATACTTGGCTAATGAGTTCAAAGGGTTTGAACCATGGTTATGAATACATATGCATTTGGAGCTGTTTCAAAAGGGATGCAGGGGGAGGGGGGAGGTTTTCAAGATGTTATATTCTTATTGTTACATGTCGACAAGCCAGGAAAGCTCTAGAGGCAGCAAAACCTCTCCAACTTTAACACTTCTTAATTCAGTGGAGCAGTTTTGCTACCTCTGTTTCATTCCTAGCTTATCCACACATAGCAATTTGAACATAACAGCTGCTGCCCTTTTCAAAAGTTCCCTTTTTGAAATGGCTCTAAGCGTGCATGTGTCCATACTCTGTTGGTATCAAAGGAATTCTTTAGGATTTAAGTTGTCAGATTATTTGCAGTAATTAGTAGTGCATTTGTTTCTTGTTTAAAGGCCTGCTCCAAAGCCTGGTAATAACACCAGAAAAACTCTGTTTATTTTAATGGCCTTTTTATCAGGCCCTTGCTACAGGGATCAAACAATTATGACATTAGCATACTTCTGAAAAATACTGAGATACTAGTTCATTTTAATTCTTTGCTTACCTAAAATCAGGCTAAGGGAATATCCAATGGGTGCCTGTGCCCAAGCCAGCCCATAGCCTGGGACATACACAACCTCTGCGGTCCCATTGATGTAGCCTCCTCCAACCCAAGTGGCTGAAAATGAAAAGGTGAAAAACTTAAAATGTATATGATGCATCTACATGAAATGCCATGTCACTGTAGCAACAAGCTACATCGCTGTACCTTGTTGCTACAGCGACATAGTGTCAGCTTGCATGAACCATGACATGGATGCTACTGCACAGTAGCTCACTGCTACTGGGCAGTAGCATTGGAAATGACCCATGCAGCACCAGGACTGTGCAATCATGGTGGTTACTGTGCAGTCATTTAGTACTTGCTTCAGTAACAACTGCACAGTCCAGTGGACATGTAGATATGCCCATAAAGAAGGAAAAACACTCATGTCATATTTCAAGAAGTAAACCATGCCATGAGGTCTAATATTACAATTATTTATTATTTGTTTTACTATAGTCACTAGGAGTATTAAACATGAGTCACAGTCATGGATCCCCTCCCCCTACAACCGCCAATGTGCTGGGGGCTGTACAAAGATTAACTAGAAAGATGTTTCTTGTCCTCAAAAGCATTTACAATCTATACATTATAGAGGAGACAACAGTCATACTGAGGGCACATTGACACACGCATATTAATGGGAAGCATTTTTGCTCCAGGTGCATCGTTTGCATGTGTGCCTGGTACTGCAGCACACTGAGCCAAGTCAGAGCAGCCCCAGCTGGCAGGCAGCCTTGGGGTCAGCCTGCTGGCCCAGGGATGATCCCCCAGCTCAACATGCTGTGGAGGGGGTGGCTGGAGCACAAGGGTGCTTCAGTGTGGGGCTAGCTACCGGCAGTGCTTACATTGTAGCACTCTCATGCCCAGCCACCTTGGGCAGCTTCTACACGTGTGCTGCAGTGGAGTTAAAAATTCTGCAGCAGGATAGAACTTATATTTACAAGTAAATTAAGTAAATCCAAGTACTATCCTGCTCCAAAGTAAATTAGTCTACTCCAGCCTAATAGGGACACACATGTGCATGCAGGACATTTACTGTGCAACTAATTAGTCTACTGTGCAATAAGTATCTTGTGTAGACATGTCCATAGTGTACAGTGAAAATGTGAGACAATATTAGTCATCCATGATAATATAATGGACTAAACAAGCAACAGCCTAACAATTATTTTTGGAGGCATAGCACTGAACAAACATTTTAAAGGGAGATTTGAAGGAGAAAAAAAATATCTACATATATAAGACTTGGCTCAACCAGGAACATTCTGTATATTTAAAGCTGGCAGAAAGCCCAACAAATGCATTGTTGACTAAGGTGCACTTAAAAGACGTGTTCTTAAAATGAGGCTTGATTTTTTTACTTCCCCAGACAAGTTAAAAATCTCTTGTTTTAGGCCAATTTTGACTGATCCCAATGCTAACGGGATCTGTGGTGTACTGCTTTAACTACCCAGTGTTTAGAATTTGTCATATCTGTATTTAAGCTTCCTACATACATATTCCTGAATTGAGATATGCTACATCTATAGGTTCTCCACTCACTTATATGAGGAAGTGCAATATAAATTGTGTTACCAAGTCATGGCAGATAATGGATTGATTCCTGTCTCTTATAGACAGCTTGCCAAACCTGGGAATTTGAGAATTAACACTAAGGCTAGGGACAGACATTACACATAAACTGGTTTAAGTGATCAGAAACTGGTTTAAACATGTAACAGAGCAGAAGTTCAGTGCCCATAAATCCACTTGAAAATAGCTGAAAATGGTTTGAGATAAACCTGGTTGAATGTAGTATCAGACTTAACTGATTTGGGTCAAACTGGTTTATACAATGCCTGTCCCAGACCCCTTCCAGGTTTAAGTTAAATCAGAGTCCCTCAGCATCCCAGCATACTCTCTGGACTGGGCTCTTTGCTCCAGAGAGCTCGGCTGGTCCATCCCCTCTGCTCCCTGGCTGGATCTCCAGCAGAGACTGGATGCACAGAGGGGTCTGCATGTCTTTCTCCTCCTCCCTTCCCACCCTCTCACCACTCTCTGCTGAAGCAGGGATCACCCCCTCCCCTCTGCCTTACACAGACACCTCTCAGCATTAGCTAGCATACCACATGCTGGCTACGGTTTGTGCTGTGGGAGATGGGACAAAGGGAGACAGGACTGTGTGCACTTAGGGCTTTTTGGAGCTAATCAACAGTTAGCTGGTAATGTCCCTCCATTCCTTCCTTAGAAAAGCTATTTAAGAAGAGCTTGAACTAATGGAGAAAGGCTGTTGGCTACTTAATGGGCTGATAAACACTGAGTTAGGGGTGATAAACACTGTGTTATCAACTCCCTGCTGGGCTGCTCAGGAGTGGGGGAACCCCTCCCTAATCAGGGCATCCTGCCTTCCCCAGCTCATCACTGTGGAAGGAAAGGGAGGGCTGCTCTAGCACCCCCTGGCTTGTAGCCTAAGCCACTGCAGTCATGTGTCTGCATTTCTTTAGTCCAGAGTGGATGTGTGTATGGTTACAAACTGGTTTAACCTAGCCAGGTTAGACTAACCTGCAAAGATTGATGCAATTCAGGCTCCTGCTTTTTGAATGCCTGCCCCTAGCTTAAGCCTGTAAAGTACAGCTCTCATATGCAGAAGTATATTGTAATTCAATCCTGACAAATAATTCTTAACAAATGATTTAATGAATGTTCTCTCTTCCTGTTTGCAGGTGATCTGTAAATATACCTTGATTTCCTTTAGAATGCAGTTGTAGTTAGAGTTACTTGCTGATTAATTTTATGAATTCTTGGATCTAGTTTGCTCACAAATAGTTCATTATATGCATTAGACTTTTGAATGCAACAAAATCTGAGCTGCTTTGATTTGATGCAAAGGCCACAAGTGGTTGCTGATATTTTCTGTGACTAGATGAAAATGAGTGTAACCTTTATAATCATACTGCCCATGTAAAAACTTATGATGCTAAATCAGCAATTCACATTCTTCAAGTATCCTGCAATATTATTTTAACCACAATTGTTTCAACAGGCATTCAAGCCAGTAAATTAGTTTGCTAGGATATTTGAGGAAAGCAATGGCAAAGTGGGCATGTACATAGATAAAACACATTTATTATAAATAGCTCAGGAAACTTTGATGGAAATGTATTTTTAATATTCTCTTCACACCAATTGAATTAGCCCACAAGTGGGGAGAAATTGAGGACACTTATATTTTTGGTTAAATTGCAACCTTCCAAAGGCTAAGATCTCTTCTACCCTGCATTTAGAAGCAAAATAGTAGTCTTATGTATAGCTGTGTGTATTCATAGGGGATATGTTAGGGATACTTGAGAAAAAGAAGGTCTGGTGGGAATGGCTAAACCTTTTTGCTTGTGATCCTGTTATTGTCAGTGGACATCTTGGCAAGATTTACTGTGCAACACATATAGACACTGGCCATGGAGACGAGGTGTGTGCCTATATGTAAAGGAACAGAGAGAACACTCTCTCATTACTGATCCTTGGCACCAGAACCCAGCAAGACAGAATTACCAGTATATAGCTCACATTATCAGCTCTTTTGCATCTGTTGATGGTGACATATAAAAAAAAGGGCTGGTAAAAAGCCTGGAGAAAATGTCCTGCAATGTACTCTAGTCCTGCAGCATGCAAATGGGCTTATTACTAGTTTTATAAGAAGAAATTGGTGATAGGCCCCTAGATACTATAGCTACAGTCACATTGTAAATAGGCAGAAGGATGGACATTTTTATCTGCTTTACTGGAGAGGATATGTGTAGGACAGTTGCAGAATGATGCCCAGTACTAAGGGTCTAAGTCAGGGGTGTGCAAAATTTGGCTCGCCAGGCCATTCTATTTGGCCCACAGTGCACAGGGCCCAAAATTTAGAAAATTAATATGTATCTGTCCATGGCTGCCTGTCGTGCAGCCCTCGATGGCTTGCCAAAACTCAGTAAGCGGCCCTCCACTTGAAACAATTTTCCACCACTGGTTTAAGTCCCCATGGGGTCAGAGCTGCAGTAATAGATTTTTTTTCAATTGGCACTTCTCTAATTTATAGTTAAAGATGTTGTCAATGGGGACAATTAGTCTTTGGAACTGGATTCCCTCACCCTTGCCAGAAGTAGGCCAAATTGCTATAAACCTCCATGGGTGGTTGCAGAGTCCATCCACTTTCCTCACGCTTTGTGGAGGAAGGATGAACTGAAGACTAGTGTTTGTGGGGAGGGTAGAGTACAATTTGGTGCTAATTTTCATTTCCTATTTATTCTGTTTCTGGATTTGGGGATGAGAAGCAGCTTTTATTATTATATTTTTGTTTGCCAGATTATTTTAAACAACTGTCCAAAGAACCTTGAGCTTTGGAAGATAGTATTTTTGGGACCATTTGTCCAGTTAATTAGAGCTGAAATACCTAGGATGAAATGAGGATGGATTTTCGTTCTTCAATGTGAATTTTCTGATACTAACTTTTAAGTTATTCTAATGTAAGCTTTTTGTCAAGTCTTTTTTTAAATAAAAGAATTGGCCAAAAGGAATGAATAGTAACATTTATATGGGAAGTTATTTTAGTTTATCTAACTGCATTCTTGAAGACACAAAAATAAAAACCAGACAATATGAACTGATTTATACAAACTCTGTGAGAAATACTACAGATTACATGTGTGCTAGTGGCATATAGTCCAAGTCTATTCCTGGTAGAGATGAAAACACAGAAACACATATTAAATGAACCTTCTATGATAATGAGCATCAGAATATTTAATAAAAAATAATCCAGCATTCTTTATGAGATGCTCTGTTTACTACACAGTCAAATCATCATCGAGTTAATCATATGTTGTAAAACAGATATTTGTCTGCTGATTACACGAACAGCATTTTGATACTAATTTTCTTTATGGAAGAATATATAGACAACCAAAATGAATAATGGTATCTGAGGATCATTGTTATTATGACTCCACTTGGAATGCTATTGCTAGGCTGTGTCAGTATTTTGATGAGACAATCTTCAGCAGTTCCCCAAGGTTGAAACTCAATCATACAAATTTATGGCAGGCTGAAATTTGCTACTGATCTCAGCATGGACAGAAGTGGGAGGTTGGAGTAAGTGTTATTACAAATAACAATGCTAACAGGTAGTGCAATTTTTAAATTGCATACAGGTAAAACTAACATATGAATTAAATATTTTTCTATATCTGTAAAATAATTTCAATTTTAAAATGAAATGTTGAGATTTATTCATGATTCAGTCTTTTATCTGTTTGTATTTTAAGCGCAGCAGATACATTCAGCCTTCAACCATGCTTTGTGTTTAGGCATATTAATTACTTTTTAATACATCTGTTTCTTCAGAAGCATAGCATACATTTGGATTTTCCCCACAGGCACTATTTGCAGAGAGCATATAATTTTCAAAATGTGCAAAAGCTATTTTTAAAAATAAACTGTAATGGCTGTAACTGTAATAAACTGTCACTGACTCTAGGATTAGGCCCTATATTTCATATTAAAATCTATAGACTCAATTCTTCTATAGCCATCTTGAGTACCATACTGCTATAGAAATAACTCCTTTTATTTCAGTACTAAATGGTTGTTCACCACAGGGAAGAGTGACAGAAGACCCTATCTCATAAACATAAAGTGTTTCAATTAAAGTATTTTATTATTTTCTAAATACTTATTTACAGGCTATGCTGTGAGGAGCTCCCAGCAATTTCTAATGTACATTGTCATTTTCATTTACATGAAAAGCTTTGTTTACTGAATTACCATATAGATATCCAAGAGAGGTAAATACATGAAATTATACTAAAATAATCATATTACCACTCAGGAACTTAGAAACTGAGACATTTTCCTTAATAAATACTTGGCTATTATAATACATGCAATGTTGAAAATTAAAAAATTAAAAGTGCCTATTGTATGAGGCAGCAAAATTTTAATTTTTATTAAAAATTATTTTGTGTTTATAATTTGCCTTTGACTCTTGCCCAGTCCTCTCAATGCAGACAAAATTCAGTCTATCCTCTGATTCTGCGGACCTGTGAACACGTTTAACCTAACATACCGTGAATGTCCCTACTAAAAACAATGTTGTACTAAACTTTATACACTGCTGGTAGTTTCATGCTCACTTTAACAGGAGAGGATGCAAATATACCATAGCTTTGCATAGTCAGACCTTATCTTATAACATATATGGGGGTTTTATCCAAACAAAGGCTTCAGAGTCAGGCCCGATCAGTAGTATAACACAGGTGGTGAAGGGTGCAAAAACAGTCCAACTATGTTGTTTGTCCAAGTGCTCCAGCCACTGATACTGCCCTGTGCATTGCTGATACCTAGGTTGCTCAGGTGCTCAATTACAAACTAGGGCCTAATGTACATGCAAAAATCATGTCACCAGGAGAGCTGACTATAAGATGACAATTCCATTTTGAAGCAACTTCTGGTTCTGAAATCTAATTTTCATTCTACATTAGCATAAAACTAAATATTTGGAATGGTTTCTTGGGAACAGGTGAGAGAAGTGGATGGATGATTAGGATACTGGCTTGGGATATGGCAGACCCTGGGTTTTCTGATACAGGATGAATAAAAATCTGTACTCTTCATCTTTCCCACCCCAGGCCATTATCCTCAGCCATAGAATCAGTGTCTTTAAAAATGTTTCCAAATACAAATTTTGTAGAAATAGATGTCTCAAGAAAAAAAAAATCACTTCGATAAAACAGTATCTTCTGGCAAGGCTTAATTTCAACAAAAACAAGTCTGAGCAGCTAAAACTACTAGTGATATCCAGCCAGATCTGAATAGTTCAGAAGCAATGACTACTCCAAACAGCAAGCAGTGGAGGGAAAGAAGTGAAGTATTAGCCTTGATTCAAACTCTTTCAACTTGTGTACCTTAAAACATCATCCTTTACATTCTTCTCAACACAGGAAAGTCTGCAATCCTTAAATCAGCAAAACTTCTATAGCTGCCCATAAGAATTTTGCTTGATCAAGGATAGCACAACTTTGCCCTAATGAGTCTTTTCTTCCTAGACAAGGCTGAACCTGAAAACCTGACAAAAGAAGGAAATTTAAATGAGATCTGATAAATCTAATATGGAATTGTAAGGGTTTTGCTTGAAAGGCATGTGTTATATCATAAAGCTTTGAAATAAAATGTATCTGCCAAAGTCGAGATTCATATATTGTAAGTTTGTGAAAAAGTACACAGTATAGTAGACGATATTTGTAACTTCAGGGCTAACAGTAAACTTACTCCAACTGGGGAGGAATGACTCACCCAACAAGTCTCATTAGCTTTGGTTGGCCAACCAGTCCTCTCAGACACTTCAGTGAACCTCTTAAAGTAAAAGAGGCTTCACTAAGGTAAGTGCAATTAGAAGTCAATCATCACATAATCTCTTCCTGCTAATATTAGCATGTACAGTACAACATTATACCATTTTCCCAACTCATGTCAAAGAGGCTAAAACACTCCAGGGTGTATGTCTATTGAAACTGGCAGTACTACTCATTGGGCAAATCTGGCCCAGTGCATCAAAAAACGGGCTTGGTGCAGCAATTTTTTATTAATTCATTTTTGCATTTAGGCTATTTTTCTTATTGAACACAGCACTAGCCCATTAGTTTCGCATGTTATAACGTACACAAAAATTATGTTCACTCCACTGAAAACTCTGAAAACATTATTGCTCCAGGCATCTCTATTTAAACCATTAAAACAGGTTCAGTGAAAAAGAAACTGAATACGTATTTTCCTTTAAAGTTTTTATATACGATAATTATTATTAAAAAAGAGAGGTCATTTATTTAAAGGACAGCATTACACAAGCAAACAAGAAATATTCTTCCTAAATTGTAATTGCGCTTAGAACTCAAGATGTTGTTTCTCTATTTTGGATTATCAAAAGCCGAACCTGCTTGTGAAACCTTTCTATGAAAGAATGACATGCTGTGTACTGTGTATATAAAAAAAGGTTTTAACATACCGGTCATTGTAAATCCACCGACTAGCAAGCCTATATCTCTTCCACCGACTATAATGGCTTCGCTGCGGTCTCCACTGCTGCCAATATTTTTGGTTTTCCAGGCAGCCCATATTCCAACAAGCAGGATTGCCAAGTAGAACACAATTATAGCTACCAGCCCCTCCACATGGAAAGGCATGTTGAAATCACGATTGTTCCTTGAAATGATATTTCATTAAGATTTCTGGAGAGAATGCAATAATACAATTGCTTTTAACAAACCAGCTAATGGTACATGGCACAATGAAACTAATTAGAGCCAGAATATACTGAAAACTCAGCTGGTTATTAGTGAGATTATGATAATTAGATTATTGAAGCGTTATTTCAGACGTAACAAGCAAGAGTGTATGTTTACGGTTTAAAACAATACAATTGGCACCGATTTTTCACACACTTCTAAGAAAACCTTGAAACTAAAATCAAATTGTCACCTGAAAAGGTCTTAACTTGTTACAGTAACAGAAAAATTAGGAACATGTGATTTAAATGAAACAGGATGTAAGAACTGTTTTTGTAATAAACCACTTATTAAAGTAGAATTGTAGTAGTTTAATATATACCTCGGTATATTAGAACTTTCTTCTCAAGACACTTTTTGGCATGCATCCTCCAGAACAGAAGATGTTAGTAAAAGTCATTCATTTTAACAGAAAGCATTTAGAGAGTTTAAAGCCACACTACAAAATTAATGACTGACAAAAGCTCTGGACAAATAATGATCACAAAGGAATATAAAAGGCTTGAAATCCAGCACACTTTCCTGTTCCCTAGTATCTCTGTCCTCATGTCTTATATTTATACATCTGAATTTTCTTTATGATAAGACAAGAATTCCTCCCGCATCCCATGACTTTCTTCAGTTTTGTCATAAATTAGATAAACAGCTTCATTAATTTTAAATTCAGACTTCCACATGCCAAATTGCCAAAATAGCAAGACTGAAATTTATCTTAAACAGACCGCACAGGATTGAAACTCTTACAAAATGAAAACATTCAGTGCACCCTAGCTCTTTTTTTTAATACAGCTTTTCCATTCCACAAACAGGTAGTTTTTAATTCGCTGGTATTTAACAAAAATCTTTAAGGCAGCATACTCTGTGGATCTTTAGCTAAACAAAATATTTAAGTTTGCCACAAGTCCAAATGAGGTTTAACTACACCCTGGTGAGCTGTTGTAATCTAGGTGGAGAACAGTATAGTCTTCCAACCCTGTGCACATCACTATCCTGTACCTGTGAAATACACAGTCAACCTTTACATTTAAGCAAAGCAGTAGCTGGAGACAGTTTTAAGTTCAAACAGGCAAATCCTGAACTCTCTTGCTAGCCACAGTAGCAAGTTAGATTCATTACTCACATTCAGAGAAAATAGTTCGCTGTATCTTTTGTTCCATCCAGCCAAAGGTTTTCCCTTCAAATATTCTCCCCCTCAAAGCTATTCCCTTCTCCAGTGTTACTTATTCTTTTCTCTTTCCTCATTCACCTCTTTTGCAGCAGGTTTCCTCTTTCCCCTCCTGTCTCAGCTCTCTGTCTCCACTCTCACTTGAACTGGCATCAAGCAGTCGGATCCCAGTGCCTTGTGTCCACCCACAGAGGCAGAGTGTGAGCAGCAGCTTTCCCCTTCTTTAAAGGGACAGGCACATTGCAAAGGCTCCAGCCCCTCAGCAGCATCAAGTCTACCAGAGCACATGCACACAATGTCCTGTGCAGCAGTGCACACCACTGACATACAGCCACATTCTCCGCCAGCTAAGAGATGCCCTGGGTTCCCTTCCTGGGAAATGCTGCTTCCCCACCTCTACTCATGCATTCCCGATTTCCGTGGGGGGAAGCACTAAGTGTTCAGCCCATCCCCAGAGGAGAGCTCTCTAGGGCTCTTTGAGCTGCTGCAGAAAGGACAGCTGAGCAGCAGGTTTGTTCCCCAAATCTTCTTAGTTTCTCTAGACCTCAGGTGACAAGTGTAGAAAAGACTCAGTCACCTCTTTTTACATGGCTTGCCTTTGTTCTAGGGCAGTGAGTGGTTATTGTACGCATAGAGAAAAATCCCTTTATAAGGAAGGAGGGATGAGTGGGGTGAGCGAGAGCTGTGTCCGTCAGAGTTGGGGAGGGGTGGAGAAAGACGTCAGTGGGGAGAGAGGATGACTCAAAGGAGAGTGACTGCAAGGGGAAGGAGGGAGGGAGAAAGAGGCAAAGCAAAGGTGAGACAGGGATGGAAGGGATGAAAAGGACTGCTGTTGAGTAAAGGTGGGTGTGCGACCGGAGAGGGAACAAAGGAAAGGGCTGATTGAACAGACCCACTGGGTTGTGGGGGAGAAGAGTGAGCAGAGAATGAGAGAGAAGGTAATTTAGAGGAAGCCCAGTGAGGAAAGTAGGAGTTGTCATCAACTTCCTCAGCACCCTCACTGTCACTTTGAAGATGGGCCTAACATGAGGCAAGAGAAAACGAAGTGAGAAATGCACCCCCTGTCACCCCCGCAGTTCAGGACACTTTGTCCTTTCAGATCCAACATGAACCTGCTCATCCCCTGATTGCAGGACTGCCAGTCCTGGTGATGCTTTCTTTCATAATATTTGATATTTTTCTTAAAGCCTCAAGCCAGGGAATTATGTGGTCATTCAAGAATCTTGGCTTTTATTTAAAAATAAACTTTTGAGCCTTCGTAATTACTGAGAAAAGCTTGAAAATACCACTTTTACTCAATACCAAACAAAAAAAGAAATACAAGAAATCAAAGAAATCAAAGAAAAAAGAGGCCAAAAATTGTTGTTGTAAATGATATTAATAATAATTTATTTATAATATAAACATTGTCAAACTTATGATTCTAAAGCCAGTCACTTGGAGAACAACCTCTTTGAGCTGAAAGAACCTCTTTAAGCAGAAAAACATGTCAGGAAGTGGGGGTTCATAAAGGCTTCTTATTAACATACCTGCCCCCCACCCCTTTTTCTGCTATATGTGTCTGGGTATTTTTAAGCCTCCCCAGAGGCATTGTGTAGTACTACGGACTTCAACTGGGTCTGCCAATGCTCTTGCTACAAGCAAAGTCAGATGTTCCTGGCTAGAGGGTCTTGCCCCTCTGCTCAGGGTCAGACCGATCACCATATTTGGGGTCAGGAAGGCAGTGGCGACACATGGGGGGGGGTGTTGCCACTGTGTGAGAGTGCTGGTGGCCCCTCTGCAAGCACTGGGTGGGGAGTGGGAGCACCATGGCCACTTCTGGGAGTGCCACAGCCGCTTCCCAGCTGGTGCGATTGGCTCCAGGGGGTACCCTGCCACCCAATCGCTGACTGTGGTGGCACCCAGTTGCCCATGCAGGAAGGAATTTTACCCCAAGATGAGATTGGATTGGAGGGCGGGGGGTTGGGGTTCGGGGGTTGCCTTGTTCTGTAGAGGGAAGCATGGCCCCCTTTGTAACTTAGAGAGAGTTCATTTTTATGGTGATGGACTTTGCCTGCCTTTTAAAAAAAATTACGATCCTGTAGGAAAACTGTACTTGTTTCCAGCATACGTTGTGTATAAAATTAAGGTGTTTCTGGTGCTAATTGAAGGACTTGGAGGAGGTCAGTTACAACTAGATTTATTTAATTACACTTAATTAATTGTCTCCAGCTGAAGAGAGAAAAAGGAGCAATGACAAGTTAAAATACAGAATAAAAGTAAGCCAAATATTTTTCTGGCTAAATATTAAATTTAAAAAGAAAAAAAATTCAATCCTATCTAAAAATAACATTGCTATTCCCAAGTCAAAACCATATCAGCAATTAAAAGTTCATAAATGCAGTTACAGTGCTCCAATAGAACCAGTGGTAAAATACATAAATAAATAAGCTATCTAAAGGTTATAGGACTCTAAGGGGAAATATTCCTTTTCTAAAAATTGATCTATCTAATGATATCCATTTGAAACTCAGAAATAGTGTACCTCCTTCAAAAATATATACCATTTCCCCAGGTTTTGGAAAAAGATGGAATTAGATATATGATGGTACCACCAATATTTTAGTTAAGACTACATGATGGCTTTCTTGCTTGGCCTAATCACGTCTTAAAGGAATATTGTCTTTGGCATTTACATGCTTATGCCATTTTTCCTGGCAGTGGTAAAAGGGAATCAGACAGTTCATCTTCAAGTTATGGGGCTTAGAAAAATAGTAGTTTTGTTTAGTTCTTTTCATTTCTTGTCTATTCATTTTGTTTCTTTTAATTTAATTTTTTGTCTCTGAGCATAGCTGAAAAACAGCCAGGCCAAAAAACTCTTTGTTCATTTTACAGCAGTTCTAAAAGAAAACAGCCTTTATTCTTCTGGAATTTTCACTGTTTTTCTACCTGCTTTAGATGTTTTTAGATCAACTATCATCATAGTATCTGAAGGCCAATGGGTTCATAACATTTTGCCTACAGTTACAGTTATGTAGGGTTCTAAAGCCTGATAGCAGTATGCTAGATCATCCCTGACGCTGTGTTGGATTTAGGCTAAAACAACTGAAGGTACATGAAATAAAAGACACCTCCAAATTTAACCAACTGCTTGGACTTTCTTCACACCTGTATAGAGAAGACAGTGTAGTTGATCTGCCCTTGCAGTAGTTATAAAAATGAGGACTATTACTTCAGCTGCTGAACTAGAGTACCGTATTTCACAGTGTATAAGTTGAGGTTTGAAGCCAAATATTTATCCCTAAATTTCCATCTCAACTTATATACTGTAACAGTATTTCTGTCGGACCCCAGGCCAGTGCTCTGCTGCATAGGGAGGCAGCATGCTGGTGTCTAGGGGCTTCCCTGGTGCTGACTGAGGCCAGGTTAGGTTCTTAGCTCCTCTGTGCCCCTGCCTGATACCCTGCATTTTGTCGAGTCTGGCCTGGAGACACTTACCCATGGCTCAGTGTCTGCCCTGTGGATAGATTTTGGCCAATGGGGTGGAGCTGTCACTCAATGGTGTGGGAGTAGTGGCACTGCCACCTGCAACCAGCAGCACCAGGGCACAGAGTGGCTGGCAAGCTGTCAGCGGGCCAGGCAGTCCCTGAGCTGGGGAGGGGGGAGGGCAGGCCTTCCCTCCATGGTGGCAGTGCCACCCAGGCCTGGCTGGGAAGGCTGCCAGTGGGCTGGGTGTTTCCTGAGTTTGGGGAGGCCAGATCCAACTGTTCCCTGAGCCTGGACTTCCAGTATCTTGCAC